TTATTCAACCCAATTTTCTGGGTTTGCATGACACACTGCATTCTCCTCTGTGAGTTTAAACTAACCAGGGAGATCATACAGGTTTTATACCAACCTTCTCTCTGACACAATGTTTCCACTGCAATTACAAAGTTATGTATGATGTTTATATTTGTTTTATTTGTATCTGAGCTATGATAATAAAGAAATAGATTAGATGAGAACTGTTCCTATATTTTTATGTATTCATTTTATTAAAGTTTAATTTTAATCATTTGGTCATTATATCCAATTTTATTTTCTATTGTATTTTTACTTCTTATGGTCTTAGTTTTAATGTTAAGAACTCTTACATAAAGAACTTAATGTTGGAATATTATAGTGCCATGTTGATAATGCTAGCTTTTAAGGTTTCATTGTTATTACTGAAATGGTTGTAATTCTTATTCATGTTATTTTATATTGGCCTATCATTGAAATAAAGATCAATAATGTAGCCTGACACACTGCATCATAAACTGGCAAGATTCATAAAACATGCTAAGCTAAAATAAGGGTTATTTGATATGCTAATTTGATTCTGCATACAGAAGGAATTCCAGGAAATTATGATTACACAATTACCCTTTCCTTGCTATTTCAAGTCACTGAACTGTAACTCTCTCCTTTTCTCTATGCAACTGTTAACTTCACTTGATTGACTTAATTGTTACTGCCACCAACAATCTTTAGGACAAAAATTAGTTTAGTTTACATACTACATAATCATATTTTCTCTCTTCCCAACCTCCACCGATCAGACTTACGTGTTAGCAAATATACCGAGGAGCCAAGCACAACTGGATAGTCTAGTGTCCTTAATTTGTCATATGTGACCTATAATCTGTATCAGATTAGGGAACTTTAGAGGGTCTGGCAATCTGTTTCAGGTTGAGGACCACACTGAATGTTGGACACTATATTAGGGGTATCATATCAAAATGGGGTAACACCCATTTACATTTTTCACTGCTAATTGCTTATTTTCCTCTTTTATTTTTTCATTTCCTTTAATTATTAATATCACCCACACAAAAACAAATGTGGCAAGTTGCAGAATGAGTCTGAAAAATAGATCACCTTGAAAAAAATAACTGCCATTGAGTTTGCAGCACTGGTATAATAGGCATCTGTATTTTTATCAGTGTGATCTCATCCTTCCCTTCTGTAGTTCCATTATATCCCTCTTATTTCAGTATTAGTTGTCCTTATATGCTGCAAGTTAAAGTAGGAATGTAGTATTTGAAGCAGCAGGAATATGTGTTGCTGCAACTGATCAGCACCAACAATATTCTGGGGCAAACAGGAAGAATTTATCAACGTTGCAGGGACTTTGAGTCACAATGTGTCACAGAATTATTCTGTGGGATCACCTTATTCCAGAACTGGGAGATTCTTCAATGAAACATCAGCACCCTGTACTTTTCTTTGCTAATCAAAGACCTACCTAGGGCAAGGTGAAAGGATCAATGCATGACAATACAGAATTATTTTATACTGGCTCTCTTAAATAAACAAGGAAACTTAAACAAAATGGTACAGATGATAGCAAAATGCCTTACTATAGGCCAAAGCAAAATCCAATTGTGGGGGTTGCACCCAAAAACTCAGAACCAGTGGTTCACACATTCAGGGATATAAGAAAAGTAAGCTTCTAGAGGAGAAGCCATAATCTTTGTACCGAACATATACTACATACAAAAAAGCATAACTGATTCACGTTAAAGAATCTTGAGTACCAGTAGAAAAGCGTTTGTGTTAAGACTTGGAAAATTATTTACCAAAAATCAGCAAGGTCAATAGCAAACGGATTTAAGCAAATGAAGGCAGCTCTCTATATCTGTATCTTTCTCTCTTAGACAGAGATTATTAGCAGAACCCTACCCCTCACACTAAAGTATGTTTCACTGTGTAAAGGACAGGGTTATTATTGCTACCCCAACATTCCCAGGCCACCCAGGTTCTTCAAATCAGGATGTCTGGCTATAATGGACAAATAAGTATATTTATGGGCTCTAGAATTTGCAAGCAGCTTGCCAATAGTAAATTTCCAGGATGTATGTTAAATAACCTGGATATTTAATATACCCAGGTTAAGAACACTATCAGTTATGTGAAAACATATCAAGTATTTTAAATATCCAGTCCATACTAACAGGCCGCAAACTTCATCTGCTTGGTAGTGATAGCATTACTGTGAAATCCAAGTGTCGAACAATAGTTAGTTGAAGAATGAAGTGCCCAGTTAAGACACAGAGAAGCATTTGATAAGAACAGCTTAGGCAAAAATGCTGACCTTCAAGGATGAAATTCTTCACCATACTTTTATCTATCCTGCCAAAAGGCAACAGATCAGAGATTACTTCAAGCAAATCAGGAGAAGAAAAACCTATCAATCACACAGCGTTTGGTGCATTATAGTATTTAATCCAGAACATTTCTTCCATTTTTTTCTCCTTTGGCCACAATGCATTCTTCAACATATAAATGTGCCATTTATAAACCTTTATGTCTACAATGCAGCCAGCAAGGAACTGGACATTATTGCTTAGATGAATGGGATTCCAGCAGGGAATCAACTGTGCTACACTTTCTGTACAATGGGGATTTCAAATGTATGTTGAGGATGTCTATTTGTGACCAGCCTCCCACTCAGTCTGCCGAAGGAGGGAAATATGTTGACATGGTATTGTGTTTGTTTTAGAAGAAGCCTAGTCACTTGTGGCTGTTGACAATCAGGCAGCAAAAACAGAAAATAGCTGTGGTAGCTTAGACCATTAGGAAAGTAAACACATCTTTTGCTTTCAACTCCAAAAGCCAGTATGACATTATCAGGAGAAACATTTAAGTCAAAGAAGAAACTATTTTTTCTCATAACGCAATTCTGACGATATTTCCCTCCATTCACATCTTCTGAATCTCACCTAGCTTCTTGCTGCAGTTCATGCTGGAGAACTCTCATCAGATCACCACTATATTACCTCATTTATTAGGATTACTAACCAAGTATGGTCAGTAGTATCTAGCCACATGTTCTTCCTCCCTTGCTATTCCATTTTTCTAATCAACTTTATAGGTCCCACCAGGGATATTTTTAAAACATGTGTTTTTACTGAGAAATAATTATATCATTTTTGGACTAGAAAAGAAAGAAACATCATGTGCTTCAGTATGTTCTGGTTAACTCTAACACACTGAATAAAGCCTTTAGAGGAGAATAAAAGGTCACCAGCGAGGACATTACATCTGCTACATGAGTTAGCACAGTAGGGAAATTAAAGCCTCCAGTTGGAATATTCCCATATTACATCTTATGTTCTTCCCATCTTAGCACTCTTGACATGGTGATCATAAGGTCACGGATCTAAATTTTTTTTTAGTCCTGGCAAGCTAGCAAAATTCCTCAAGAATGCCGCTATACATTGAGAACCAGCATGTTCACCAAGACAATGGCTAAATTCCCAGTGTGTGCTCGGTCAGCCTGAGATAATCCCAAACTAGTGCAGAACAAGTGGAAAAGTTCCATTCCACAGTAATTTGAAAACAGTACAAATGTAACTATGCAACAAAACAAGAACTGAAAACCAATTTTCTAAATAGGTTTTGTAACTGTTAGTCTCTATCTAAGCATTATTTATTTTGGAAAATTGGTATTGTGATGATCACGTGCTGCTTGTATGAGCTACTTTCACGGTCCTGGTCCGGAAAAGGCAACATAAATGAGCTTGTGTGCTTAGTGGAAGATTTCCTCTGCCATGCTTTAGTACATCATATTATCCAACAAATATTAAGATGCTTCCTTTTCTTCTAGAATTTCCACTTGATGACATTGATGTTTAAAGATATTCTAACCTCTATTGTCTTTGTATTAACTCTGCAAGCAATAAATTTTCCCAAGCTAGAGGCTGACTCACACATGCATTTACATTATTTGATTTCATTATACTTAGTTTTTGGCAACTGAATGCATAAGCTCACTTACTGAAAGCATTTCAGATTATACAAGCTTCCTGTTTGTGGAATTTGGTCTTTGGTCATATTTGCAAGTCATCACTTAGTGTTGCAAAATTCCATGACAGATATTTAGGCCAATATAGTGACGGCTTTGTGATATGGAAATACCTAGCACAACACTCCAATCTCAACTGCATAAACACTGGTTCAACTTTTCTTGCTTTGCAGCTTGGGATGAATTTTGAAAAGAGGAAGATGTTGATAAGCTTTATTCTGAAATACCCAATGAATTAAGAACTTAATGGAATATTTTGTAACTCTATTTGGGCAGTTTAATGAATGAAATACAGAGAAGACATTTCTGGGGGTTTGTTGGAAGCAAAGGAATACCTATTGCTAAGCTACTAACAGGCTAGGGTCATTGTGTAAGAGCTAAGAAAGAGCTCTGTTTTTCTGGCATGATTTATACACTATAAGAGACGTAAGTAAAGTGCTTGCCTATGTAAACGAGGCATGCATGTACATCATGTTTGAATGTATGTTCTAGTGTACTGGACCATTTATATATAGTATTGGTCTAATGGTGATCAGTGGCCTGTGTCACTGATTACTTGTGTGGTGAGAATAACCCACCACACATCTTGGAAGTATTTCATGCATGCCATCTTTCACAGGTCAAATATTCCATACATAGCTTGTTATATAGAGATAGTCCTTGCTTAACAACCACAGTAGGGACCAGAAAATTGGTAGTTAAGTGGGGTGGTTGTTAAGTGAGTCACCACGTGACCAGACCTGATTTTATGACCATTTTTACGATGGTTGTTAATTGAATCACATGGTAGTTAAGCAAATCCAGCTTCCCCAATGAATGTTTTTTGCCAGAATTTGCTTAATGACCACGATTTGCTTAATGACCATGGTGATTTGCTTTACAACCATCACAAAAAAGGTCACAAATCACGATCACATGACTGTGGGGGGGAGTGACTGCTTATGATGGTCGTAAGTGTGAGTACAGGCCATAAAGCACTTTTTTGAGGCCGTCGTAACTTTGAACTGTTGTTAAATGAACAGTCGTTAAGCGAGGACTACCTGTATGCCAACTGGGCCTTAGATACATAGGATTTAACAAGGAGTCCCTTCTTAACCAGCAAATCAAGTCTGGAAAATACCAGCTTAGTCATACTAGGGATGTCTAGGCAAATACTATGTTAAATAACTCTTTTCAAGTCATAGAATTAAAATCTTCTTTCTTTTCTTTTTCTTTCTTTCATTTTCCTTCTTTTTTTCTTCTTTTCTTTTCTTTTCTTTCCCTCCCTTTTTTTTTTTTTTTACAAAAATACATCTGCAAATGACAAGTAGCTGAAAGCATGCTGGGAAAACAAGGAAATTTGGAGTAACCAAGGTTTTTGAACTCCTCCAGTGAGCAATGCAGTAACATTCTCAGTTTAGTTAAAAAAAAAACCATCTGGCTAAGGAAGGTCCCTGAGAAATGGTCGATGCTGCCATCAGTTATATGGTGGGTTATCCACCACACACTGAGGAGCAAACAAAGTTGTACGAGTACCCCCAGGAGCCAGGAAGGGGGACAACAGAATTGCAAACCATTTGGCCTCCTAAAAGGTAAGCAGAAGAGGCTCCAGGATAAGACTCCTCAGTACGTGACCAATAAAAGGCTGTCTATGATTGCCCTGCCACATCATCTTTTTGACAGAAGGTGATACCAATTGTGAGCAAACAGTCACACCAACATACAGAGAAAGAAAACTAACACATAGACCAACACACCAGTGTGGCCTCCTTGGTCAGAGGAGGACTTTGCATGTCCATGGGTAGCTTGCATGCAACACAGAATGACTGGGGAACTTCTGAAAATGGGAGGGGGACAAGAGCCTTATACTAAGATAGACCCCTCCCAATAAGTTAAGGCTAGTTGATTATCAACTGGCATCTGTTGCCAGGGTCCAAAGACAAGAAGAACAAGGGTGAATTACAGCAGAAGAAATCTCCCTCACACTCACAACACAGAGCTCTCACCAAAGACCTTTACAGACTGCAGTGAATGTGACGAGAAACTAAGTCAAACCAGGGTGAATTTCAAGCCCCACATGGATAAAAGCAGTAAGTGGTGCTCCTGCCAGTTCCCCCCCAGCCTCTCATTCGTTCCACAAAAGCTGTTCTCAGGATCCAGTGGGAAGATTCCGTGAAACAGTGATTGTCCAGGTGCTCCGGTATGGGGTGGCCTGGAGGGACGCAAGGCAGCTGCCCTCGCCTTGCAAGGCGTCCTCTTTTATACTTCTCTCACTTTGCTTTTCACTCTCCTTTCACGTTCAAATTTCGGTCAGAGAATCAGCAGGCACCAGCCCTCGTTTTTTGCCACTTGTCACCTTGATGAAACCTTCATTCTCTTTGGTCTTCCCCACACCAACACAGATCTAGGAGAAGCAGGAGAAGGGGTGAGGGGTGGGGAGAATCCTCAATGTTATCAAACGGTTAAAAAAGAAAGCTGCTAAGTGTACTCGTATTATTAACTGCAGAATATGGCATTTCAAGTATGCAATTGCACTAAATAAATAATTATTAATGTCTGTTTTTGTGTGTTGGGGGCATTATTAAAAATCCAGTTTGGATGTTGGTTCAGCATTATTCAGTTAGTTACTTTTGGTTCTAATTTATGGTCAGACAGTTTTTGTGTTCTGTCACAAAGCATTTGACCATCGTAACAGTATTTTAAAACTATGCTTCCCAAGGGCATTTTTAAAATCATAGGCAGCTTTTCTTTTTCTTAAACAAAGCTTGCTCTTCAGCAAGAATCTTCTTGTTCTGGCCATGAAGTTACACTTTTTAAACCACAAAAGCTACAGCAGACGGTCACATTCATAGAAAAAAAAATTCCAAAATACCCTGAAGACTTTGGTGGCTTGTGCTACTGTGTCTCCCCACCTATCCAAAATTTCAGGTGGCAGCTAAAGAGTGGTGTATACAACGTATATAAAAATGACCAAAACTGATCAGTGGCTGTAATAACTGGAAGACTGGTCAAGAGACAGAGAGAAACGTTGTACATGGCACATCTCAACTTCATATTATAGTAATACAGGCATGGAAAAAATAAAATTAGAGAGTGGTTACAAAACAAAGGAGGGAACTGCATTGGGCACTGTTTTATACAAGCCCCTCTGCTGTAATAAAGAGAAACAGACTGGATCCCCTAATTCTGGATTAAATTTTGTGAGATTTCATAGTGCTCTTATATGAAGTTTGAACATAACTCTCCTCTGCATTTGTGCTGTTAACACGCGGTTGTCCAGCCACTCTATGTAGGCTTCCACATATTAGAGAACGAGACTCAGTAACAAGAAAATTTACTAATGTGTGTGTGTGGATAAGTATCTGCCTGCCAACAAGATACATTTTCTAGATATATTTCTGGGTGGCTCACATCATCATCATCATCATCATCATCATCAAAGCACTTTTCAATGGAAACTCCACGAGGTGCCCCAAGCAGCTGCCTTGTGTTTCTTAACATTAGAACTAGCCCTGTGCTCCAGGGAACCATCCGTATTTCTCACTTGGACTTGCCTCCCATCCCATCCACCACCTACTGCCCCTCCTCTGCTTGGCATCCAAACTGGCTTTCATGCCTTTCTTCCATTATTCATGGCAGCCAGCCCTTCCTTAACTGCCTCAGCATACCTTTGTTTGCTTGAGACTTATTAAAATGTGCCAAAAAGGTTCTGTCGGCTGGCATCTTGCCCACTGAGAGTGGATGCTGGAGCATCAGGCTGACAGAACAAAGTGGCTCCAAGGAGATCCTGAGTAGGTTTTTGTAAGTTCAAAAGGGGTGGGGGGGAGACTTTTGAATGCCCAGAGGGAAAATGCACAGGCTGCAAAGTTAATCCCATTACTAAGATTCTACTAAAACCTTGGGAGGGGGACACTAAGAGCAAGATGCTCTATACACCGAGGACCTTTATATTTAGCTCACCTCTAATATTATTCAGTTCTGTATGGGAATATATCAGTCATCCTTCTCCATCTGCTCCCTTTCCTAACCTCTCATAAAGCTAGCATGGCCACTGGGAACCAGTCTTGTAGTCCTGACTCAACTGAAGATTGGGCAAAAGCTAGCACATCTCTTTGTACAATCCCTGGGCTGCATGCAATCCTTTCATCTTGCTGAATTACAACCCACCTAAAAGTGTCCATGAAGTGTTGCTATTTAATTACATAGTGATTCACTGAAAAATCCTAACTCTACAAAATGTCTACAGTGCCCAACTTTCTTAGTTCCAAGATTTTGGTCCTTTAGCAAAACACAATCAAGGTGCTCCTTGGCTGCTTCCGTGCAGTTGTTAATAATATTACAGAAGATTGTATAAAACATTCACATCCAATTCATCACCATAATCTGAAGCACAGATATTTGCCCCTAAATACTTTAAGGATAGGTAGTTCTGACCTATTATTATGTAATTATGCAGAACTAGTTTAAATGTTAAAGTATAGAGATATTACAGTGACAACTAAGGTATGTATTGTCAAGATGATGGTTTTCCAGGTGTAACATATGGCTGTGAAAGCTGGATCATCAGAAAAAATGGTTGAGTTCAACCTGGACCACACAAGAAGAACAATACTTGATGAAGTAAAACCAAACTGTTCACTCAAACACAAATAAAGATGCTAAAGCTTAAATATTTTAGATGCATATTGTGAAGGGGAGTCATTGGACAAGGCCCTAATTCTTGGAAAAATAAAAGATAGTTCCAAAAAAGGCTGACAGAAGACAAGATGGCTAGGTACTATCAACAGATAACATAATCAAGAACTTGCAAGAATATAAAGCAGTTATTGAGAGACTGTTCCAGCAAAATAATGTCCACCAGGTCACAAGGACTGAAGAACAATACAATTCTGTTTTAGGGTCAACCTGGTGAGTGTTTGGATTCAATAGGGAATACCAGAAATATGGGTTAGATTTGAAAACAAGCCAGCCAAGCTATTTCTGTATTGCTGCTCAAAAACCACATGGACTTGTCCATGAATTTACCAGGAGTCATGCTTGGCTCAAATAAGTCTTCACCTTTTACCTTAAGGGAGAGGGAACCTTTTCTCACAAGGACTACAGAAACGTTATGACCGAAACTGCCACTTTATTTCTCCTTTGGACGACCCCATTCTACTCCCACTTCTTCAAGCTCAGGTAAGCGCCAGCTGAGGGGCAGGGCATGTCTTCCCAGACTTGAACTGACTGCTTGCAGACGGGCTTTGTAAAAGGAAGCCAAAGGCCTTACTTGACCACCTCTATATTTGGGGCATACGTGCCTACCTGGTTTTCTTTAAGGCTCAGCTGTCCCTGTTCTTTGTTCCCACAGAAAGTCCTGCAGCATCTCCAGACAGTTTCACCTGGACGAACTCGCTGGACAAAATTGGCTGGGAAAAAGCCGATGCGGTCTCCCATCTTTCCCTAGGTCACAAAACAAAAACGTCAGCAAGGTCCATACCACAAAAGTCTGTGCTAATGTTTGTGCTATTATACGTTTCTCATCAAGAGGGATAGAAACTTGGCCTCTTAAATTAAAAATTATAAACTCAGACCTGTAATTTTCAGGATTTTAAATAAGAGCCATAGCAAGCAAAACTGTGCCTTGAGAATTGCTCACTTTACAGTAAATACACGCATAATCATGTGTTTGCTGTTTTTTCAACACGCAATAAAAAAAAGTATTTATTTCATCAGGTTTCTATTGATTTTCACTATATAATTACATTTTTTTGTTTTTGTAATGGGTTGTTTTCAAATTTTTATTGTATGTTATGGGTGGGAAGCACCTGGGGGGAGGGTTTTCATAAGGGCAATGTAGAGGGGCAATCTCTATTTAGAAATAAATATCTGAATCAAGTAAAGCATCTGCCATTACACTTGCTTTTACACGATAAGGGTTGGGGAACCATCCTTATTGTTTGCTGCAGGCGATTCTTCAGAATATTGCTTTTCAGCTTCATCACCTTCTTTCTTGAGATCAGCTCTCCCCAACCTGTACTTTACTAATTTGTTGGTACTGCGCCTCCCAGAATGTCCAACCAACATCGCTTTTGTGAATTTTGGTCCCAATGTACATATCTTTAGAGTAGTTCTTCTCAACCTTGGGAACTTCGAGATGTGTGGACTTCAACTCCCAGAATTCTAGGAACTGACGTCCACATATCTTAAAGTTCCCAAGGTTGAGAAACACCGCTTTGGAGCGACAGCTTGGAAAAGCTGCTCTACAGCAGGTACTTCCAAGGTTTGCAGGACCAACAATCTGCATTCCTTGATTGCTAAGCAGATGGTCTTAGGCAGAATGATAGTAGCAACATTAAGGAGTGAGAAATCTGACTAGAGCCCACTGTGTCGGTTTTGTTCTTTGCTGCTCAAAGAACCATTCTATGGTTCATTGTGGAAAGTTGGGAAAAAAACACACTGAAAGAAAGAAAGAAATACCAGGGCAGCCTTCCTCCTGGCCTGCAGACCATACAAGGCTTGTTCCAGTATCTCGGATAAGCACAGGCTATCTATGGTTCTATCAGGGTTGAGGAAAAGAGACCCAGAGAAGTATATAATTGTTTACAATTAAATCATACAATTATAATGATAGAATCTCCAGTTTCTAATACCTTCAAAAGTATTGAGGCACTGGTCCTCCATCCCTTCAGGGTTGCAGGTAGAATCTTTTCACCCAATACCTGAGGGCTGCAGATTTCCCTCCCCCCGAGCTGTTCAGGATCCTGTTCCTTATTATCATTCAGCAAAGCTCTTTTCAGAGAGCTGTAACTCATTGTCACCAGTGTGGTGCAATGGTTAAGGTGCTGGTCCAGGATCAGGAAGACCCGGTCTAGTTCTTCCTAAGCTATGGAAGCTCACTGGATGGCTTTGGCCCAATTCTTATCTCTCAGTTCAACCTACCTCACAGGGTTGTTGTTGTGGGGGGAAAATAGGAGAGGGAGCACTGCATAAGCTGCCTTGGGCTCCTGAATGAAAAGTAGGGTACAAATCCAATCAATCGATCAATCAAACACAATTGGTGGCAATTGTTCAGATATGGAGTTGGATTGTTTTATCCTGATATTTTTTTAATATAGGATAGGCTTATTTGTGTTTTGTGTTTTGCATTTTGATTTATTTATTGATAGCAGAGGATATTTTATTTGAACATGGGAGATACATATTCAGATCTCTGTGTTCTGTCAGAATGTTCTGCTCACCTTCCACCAATCTTCATTGGAATCATCTATCAGCATGATTCGGTCTCCAGGCCTGCAGGGACAGACAAAGTCTGGTTTACCTCCAGCTGCCTTTTGGGTAATGAGATGCAGGGAATGTCACAGTATAAAAAATGTCTGTATGGCATCATTGGGCAAAACAAAATATACCCTACTAGTAATACTTCAGCCACTACTAGCAGGTGTCCTCACCAGCAACCACAGCCTTAATTGTGAGCGGTAGCCCCTTTATTTCATTTTTATATATCTATCTATCTCACATTTATATAGCCACCCATCTCACACAAAGCGACTCTGGGTGGCGTACAACAATTGAATAAAATAACAAATAGGTAAAAACAATCATCATAAAAGATTAAAAAGTGACTATTAAAATGCAATGTTACCAAAAAGTTTAAAAATTAAAATTTTTTAAACCACTTTAAGCCCTATCAGCAAGCTCTCCCAGCCCAAGAACTGACCATTCCATGCCCATCTAATACTCTGGACTTCTACACTGGAAATCTGGGATCAGGGCAGACTTACTTCAGTGGCAGATCATTGTTCTCCTGAGGCAGAAACTTGTAGAGAGCAACATAAGAGTACATGGGTGAGACCTCTTTGCGCGTACAGCCTTGAGCTGGCTAGAGGAAAAGGAATGAGCCAAGAAGAAAAGTTGCAGGCTTTAGATACACAGTGCAGTCTTTAAGGATCTATTCTGAAGTAAATCTTACTAAATTCACTGGGGCTCACTACCAGAGCCTATGGCTGCAGTCATATGGTATCCGCTCAGTGAACACAACAGCATATATTTCTAAGTAATAACGCCTAAGATTTTGATACATGAGAGGCTGTGTTCAGCTTTGGACTAAAAAGAAAACAACAAAATACCATTTGATGCAAACTGTTCCTACATTTTACAGCTTTTGCAAAATGCTATTTTGGGACAGACTGATAAAGATCTCATGATTTCCAGAACTTGCTACTTTCCATACGAGGGATGGTGTAGGCTTGTTGGAAAGAATTTGTGAAAGGGAAAGGGTGCAGGGTGGGCGAAACAGGTCAGGGACAGGGCAGAAGGCAGCCGAAAAGTGAAGCTGTGTGAAAGAGCCAGGCACTCAGCTGACAGGGGCCTTTTCCCAGCCATTTTATCCATCCTGAAATTGCTCGTTTGCTTGGCTGTATTTTTTCCACAGTTTTCCTTTCTTTGAAAGTAACACTTTGTTCCTTAAAAAGCTGGACTCTGAACCTTTTAAATTGTTCACAGAATCACAGAGGGGCCATTTGAGCCACTGAATTCAACCCCCATTCAATGAGGAAACCCAGATTAAAGCATTCATGACAAATGTCTGACCCACCCTGTCCAAACATGTCTCGCACATTTCCCTAAGAAACCGAACCCATTGCTGAACTGCGTTAGCTGTCAAGAAGTTTTTCTTAACTTTCAAACAGAATCTGTCTTCCTGACAGAGAACAGGTTAGGGCCTTCTTCTGGATAAAATCTCTCCAAAGAATGCAGTCATGGCCTTCTCAGTCTTCATTTCTCAACACGAAGCACAGTTCCCTTAAACGTGTCTAGTAGGATTTATTTTGCCAGTCATTCTCATTGTCCTTCAATACTTTTTATTTGAGAAATTCTACAGGCATATACAACGCCTGCCTCCTTCCTGACTCACTAAGGAATTTTCTCAGAGTGCACCATCACTGAATAACCAGAGTTTGACAAGAAAGGGTAGAGAATTTCTGGAGTGGACTATGAAATAATTATCCCCAAACAGAAGGTAATCAAGTAGGCTTATTTAAAAATGGAAAGTTGTGGCATGTTGTCCCATGCAACCCTATTTTTAAAGCTGAGCTACTGTACTATACTATCTTTTTTTTGCCCTTGAATTCTAAAAAGGAATAAAACCAAATATAATTTTATAAAAAGTATAACCTTATCATGTGCAATTTCTCCCCTTCCCTGCCTGCCTGCCTTCCTTCCTCCCTCTCCCCCCTCTCTCTGGAGAGAAAAAAACTGGGGAAGGGGCTTATTCATGAAGCCATTTTTCTCAAGTTGCTGGATCCCACATTTTTTGGATGGATCTTTGCTCTTCCTCAATCTTGATATGAAGTGGGTAAATTTTCTACCTGTTGCCCTGAGTTCTTTTCTTCCAACACGGGGCCCTCGCCTTCTGCTGCCACTGAGAAAACTGAAAGAAAAAAGAGAAAGGGTATCAAGGCTCAACATTCCCATATGCAACAACACATACATTCTTTCTTTCCTTCAGTTTTTTCAAGAAAAGGATGCAATCCAGCATCAGAGATGGCAGGAGATTCTGGAGAATTCACTACAAAACAACATCCGGTCAACTGGATTCTTACAACTTACTAAGCCAAGTTTGGTTTTGTCGTAGCACAGTGTTTCTCAACTTCAGCAACTTTTAAGATGTGTGGATTTCAACTTCCCAAGCTAGCTAGGGAATTCTGGGAGTTGAAGTCCACACATCTTAAAGTTGCTGAGGTTGAGAAACACTGCCTCAGCATATAGTGTGAAAGCATCCATTAAAGTTTTTAAACTGTGGTTTATATCTGAGTGTATTTGTGAATCCGGCTAACTGTGGTTTATTCAATAAGCTGTGCCTTAATACAATGCAGGAACCAGAGAATGGTTAGATTCATACATGGCCCTAACTTGATTTCTGTAGGCATCCCTTTTTTCCTCCCCCAGGGAAGAATAAGAGCTACTTATAGAAATAATACAGGAATCCAAGATTTTGCAGAGGCTGGTCTCTGCTCACTATTAAAAAAAAAATCTGCTTATATCTAGAGGCAATGCAGATGCAATCCAAATAAGTGAAGTAAGAGTTTAAGTAGGAACAAACATTATCTTTCTGGGCTCATACATTCACAGGGAGAAAGACTATGACAGATCTAGATGAAATGTTAAAGTTCAGAGATATTACACTGACAATAAAGGCACATATTGTCAAGCCAATGGTTTTCCCAGTTGTAACATGGCTGTAAAAGCTGGACCATTAAAAGGCTGAAGGAAGAGAAATTAATCTTTTGAGTTGTGTTGCAGGAGAAAATTGCTGAGAATAACTTGAACCACAAAAACAAATAAGTCATTCAACGCCAGATGAAGTAAAATCAGACTGCTGGCTAGAAGCAGAAATAATGAAGTTAAAGCTTGAATATTTTGGATGCATAACATGAAGAGAAAAATCTTCAGAGAAGACTGTGGCGCTTGGAAAAATCAAAGGCAATTGAAAAAGAGCTCAACAGAAGACAAGGTGACGAGGTATTATAATTGATGGCACAAGCAAGAACTTATAAGAAATCAGAGAAGCAGTTACTGACAGAGAATCTGGGCAAAATGATATCCTTTGAGTTACAAAGACTAGGAGGTGACCAAACTGAACAACAAGTGATTGGTTGAATTTTTGCAGTCCAGATCTGATATGCCTAGCCTTGAGGGGAAATTTTAAGTACAACGATCTTTGCTGCAATTTGAGGAGTGTTTGTACAGGGGACATTTTTGGCTACGGTTCTAAAACAGCCTCAGCCTCAGCCTCACCTTTAGCATAACATTAAGAGCTGAACACCTTATAAAGTCACAAGCCTCCCTCTCTGAGCCAGTCTTGCCTTTCACAGTATAACTTAAGACTGAAAGTCTGAATTTGCATTGGAACCATTTTTGGCAGAGAATGTTCTTTTTCTGAGATAGATTGTACCAGCCTACCTATGGGTAAGCAAGCATTGAGTAACTCAAAACAAAAGACACAATATGCTTCATGTAAAATAAGATATAATCAGAAAGAGCAAGACTTCTTGCTTTTAATAGAGCAAGAAGTCTACCCTACAAACTTCTGGGATGAATTTCACTTCCAGCCCAGAACAGACCAAAAGAAGGAGATGTACGCTTCCACGGAAATTCTGAATTAGACAATAGCTCTGTTTGGACATTACACCTCTCCGCACAGGAAGGGAGAGCAGAGAGCAGGACCACAGGTTAGCCTTTGCCCCATAGATCTTTTCCTCCTAATTTTGTGCATTTGACAAAGAACGAGAGAGAGAGAAAGAGAGATTGATGTATGTGTCTGTGTGTGGATGTATCTCTGTGCACAAAGGCTAATGCAGGTCGAGCAAGCAGGAATCGATAACAGGGCCAGCATGTGCAACCCTATTCCTCCTTTCATGTCTTACACATGTGCACGTGTGTGCGTGGGGGTGGGGGTAGGTAAATTCTGAGCATGGTTGACAAAAAAAGTTATTTTACATATGTCGTATTGTAAGCGGGAATGGAAGTTCTACTCACCGTTATCAGTCATATTTTCCTCTGCTGTTGATCCACCTGCTTCTGTGTTCTGAGCTGTTTCCTCCTTCTCATTCTGGAAGAGAGAAAGATGTACTGAAGCAAAGAATCAGGCGGGAGTCTAGAATACATGTATGTATGGACGTGTGTGTGTGTGTGTGTGTGTGTGTGTGTGTATTCAAGAGCCAATTTAAACAGTTCCATCACAATCACTGGCTCTGGAGGGAAGGGCTTAGGAACAGGGAAGGACTTTGGGAGAGGAATAGTTGCAGTGACTGTCATCATCCAAACCCTCAGAGGTATTCTAGGGTTCATGTATTTTTTTTTTTGGGGAAACAGCACAGAAGTGCCTTGTCATGGCCTTCTTCTGCAATTTCTTTTCAACTTTTCCATCTACTCAGAGCCTTGGGATTCCAAATACTCCTCCATACAAGTACAAATCAGGTTCAATGTTGCTTAGCTTCTTTGAGGTCAACCAAGGTTGGCTAGATGCTGCTACCTGTTTTGACTAGAGGCTCCCTCAAGTTGAGCTTGACTCTTTATGGCATGAGTACCAGTGAAAGAAAAATCTAGCAGCCTTGAAATTAGTTTTGATACAAGAACACGTGTGTATTGCTTTCTTGATTTACTCATAGTTTCCATCTTTCCTCCTATTCTTTTTCACATGTATCCCATTTCCAGTAACATTTCCCCCACTGTTTCCCTCTAGATATTAAACAGGTTTCCCACAATCCCAGTATATTCATCAGGGACCTGTTAATGTTACCAAAATGCAATCTTTGCATTAAGGGACCATACCAGACTCTTGGTGGGAGACTCTGAGGTGCTGCTGAAGCTGGAGCGATTCATGTAGGCCAGAGAAGTACCGTAGCGCAAAGTCTCATAAATGGGATCCACCTTTCCACTGGGGCCTGCTGATGAACAAGAGACACTTCAGAATTGGATTGTCAAGCATGAAGGAGAAGCATAGGAAGCTGTCATAAGCAGGGTCACTTTATTATTTTGTACTCTGATTGGCAGATGCTGTCCTGGGTGGTTTGTAAAATTGCTTGTGTAATGAGCCAAATGAGTTTCCATCAGTCAGATTGACCCACCATGCTTTCTAGTTACAATCTGGATGGATTGAGTTGAGTTGCAATGACCAGTCAAATTCTTGCTAGCTCCCTGGCCCTCTGATAGAGAACCTCTGTTTGCTAAACTGGATCTGGAAGGCTTTGAATTCCACAATGAAGCATTTTTTTCCTCTGTGCAACTGCCCTGCCTCAATGATGGCATTTTACTTGGTGACCTTAGGACCGCTGTCATCTTCCATGTATAACCCTCCTGCATTTTCTCACTGCTTCTTCTTTCTTACCCCAGAACATTTATTAAGGAGGCAGCAGGGGCATTTGTGGGGTGGGCTGTCAGAAGACAGGAACTGTGAGCATGCAGTAGACGCCTGGCCACTTTTTTTCATGCATCGCACATGCATGGCTGCCATCTTGACCCCACCCCTTGGAGAACCATGGCTGGCAGTGCTAGGAGTCAGCAGCCTGGGAGTACCTCATCGTCCTTCTTCAGTGGCTGAGCTTCTGTCAGAAATTTTACCCACAAGTCCTTTGGGAATGACTGAACTCTTACCTGCAGGGGGAGATTCCTTGGCTGGGGCTGGTTGGGGCTGTGGTTCATGCAGCAGCAGAGGAGAACTGAGATTACGGCGGAAAGAGGTTGCCTGCTGAGGAACAAAGGACAGGAGAATATTTCCCTGGCCTACTGTGGAGGACCAAATGCTTGGCCCTCTGCCACGTTACTAAGACGAGAGTGAATTAATATAGGAAGCATGTTTTGCCCCATTCTAGAAAGGTTGCTAAGGACCAGTTTATATTCTATTTCCTCTTTATCACTTAACCCTCAGAGAAATTTTAAGCAAAGTAAAACAGGACAGGAAATAGTCCAGACCTCTGCACATCAGCTTCTGAAAATGGTGATCCTTGGATTTACTCTCTGCTTCTAGAAGTCTGCCTGCAAAATCACAGCAGTATAGTGTAGTAGTTTGGGTTTGGTCTCCGACCAAGAAAGTTTCCCACTCATCCACTGGCCTTGGGTTACTCACTAACTCTGATCTGATCTGATCTGACCAATCAATCAATCTCTTAGGGCTGCTGTGAAGACAAAATGGGAGACCCGCTCCTACTGTTTTGAAATCCCTGGAGGAAAGGTAGAATATAATAAAACAAAAGTTGTGAAATCTGAAGCATACAGAAAAGCAAAATTAGCTTATAGAAACTGGCTCTAAGTGGTACAAAACCTTCACTTTCTGTTTCATAACGTCAATTGGTATGCCACAGAAAGCACATTCAATGCATCATGATAAAACTAGGAAATCAAATTTAATTAGTGCCTGCAGCTTATTGATTTCTCCTTTTGCACAACTAAATAAATAATGCAAGTTTAGCATGTCATAATGTTCACAAATTAGAACAAATTGTATTTTAAAGTTGCTTTCCAATCTTTCTTTCTTAATTGTATTCTTAGAATGGATATCAAACCTCTCCTTTTCCTAGTTTATTGCTCACATGGAGGAAGGACTGCAATGCAAGCAACTGTTTGCATGTAGCAAGACATTGTTCATTTAAGCATGGTTTCATAAGCCACAATTTGTTAAGGGCAAATGTAAAAGAACAAAAACAGAGGAGGTGGATTCAGAAATACCTAAAAAAGTGTTTATTAGTGGCCAAGTGCTTTTTGGAATGTTCTTGAGTGAAAAAAAAATACAAGTGTTTAAAAATAAAACATTTTAATTTATTTTCGATTTGTAGAATGTGTAGGACGAATGGGTTGATTTAGCCAGTGTAAGCAGAAAAACGTATTAGGTAAGCAAGAATTGAGATAATTAATTTTAGGAGACTTTATTTTGAGGAACATGTTCTTCTAAAAACAAGTGGGCTATTTTCCTTGCATAATCTACAAAGTAGTATTTCTGGGCAGCTGGGATTAGCAGTAAGTGTAGAGAAAAATATGGGTTGCAAGAAATATGTATTTTTAGCATGCGGATGAATTTAAAATGAATTTATCTTCATTGATTTGTTTTGTTTTGTTTTATACAATGTAAAGACTTTCTCTTTTGTTGGGGCAATTTTTAAAACCAAACCTGATCACATATGCTGGTTTTGATCTTACATAACAACAGCCTTCCTGGATTGGCCAAAGTTTATCTTAGTCCAGCATTCTGTTTGCCAGAGTGGCCATCCAGATGACTCTGGTGTTCTTAAGCAGCAGATGGGGACACACCCTCCCCCTGTGGAGTCCTTGGGATTCTCTGAGCTTGGTGGCTTTCTTGCAGATGTTTTGTTAGCACTGAAGATGTTACCTAGCCGGGTGACGAAACAACTGTAAGGAAACAACCAAGCTCAGAGAACCCCAAGGACTCCACAATGCAACTCCAAGCTACATATATTCTCTTCTATTGATACCCTCCCCTGCCCTCGTTCCCCTAAGACTAATGTTTGGAGGCATGCTGTCCCCAACCCAGAGGCAACATTCGGTCTCAAGACTAACAAACCTTGTTAGATTTTGTGTCCATCAAATCTTGCTTTAAAGCCATTCATATTAGTAGCCATCACCATGCCATGTGATAATGAATTCCACAAGTAAATTATGTGCTGAGTGAAAACATGCTTTCATTTGCCTGTTCTAAATGTCCTTTCAGTTTGCTTCGTTGGATGATCTCTTCTCCTAGTGTTTTGAGAGAGGGAGAAAATCTTGTCTACTTTCTCCATGTCATGCTTGATTTTATATACTTCAATTATGCCCCCCTCACTCATTTCTTTTCCTAAGCTAAGATTCTCACATGTTCCAGCTTCTCTTTGTAAGGAAGATGCTAAAGACATCTGATCATCTTGGTCTGCCCTGCCCTGCATTTTTTCCAGCTCTGTTTTATCCTTTTTCAATTGTGGCAACCAGAACTGCATTCCAGGTGCAGATATTCCAGACATTACAATGCTGGCTGTTTTATTTTCAGTTCCCTATGGTTTCTCTCCTACCATAGAATTTGCCTAAAGATCTTTTGCCTGGTTAAAGACGATTCAAATCCTATCAGTGTATATCTGAAATTTGGGGAGGGTTATGTGTTGCCTTAAGGTACATCACTTTATGCTTATTTAAACTGAACATTTGTCATTTGATTGACCATTCATCCAGTTTTGAAAGATCCTTCTGGACATCTTTATAACCACAGAACCTATTCAGGTATATGCCTGTTTAGAATACCTGGGATATGTTTTGGAAAAAAAAACAAACTTCAGTGATTTGTTTGCAAGATAAAGCCTGTGTAAAGAAATCCAGTTCCTAGTACTCTTGACACAGAACTTCATCCAACATGCACCAATGAACACTTTGTAGGCACTTCAGAATCCACCCTCCTCTGTTTCACTTTTCCCTATATCACTGCCAATCCTTTTCCTGCAATATGTATGAATGTACCACTGTCTGTGGTACAAGTAGCCCTCACTTAACAATCCTAATTGGGACAGGCAACTCCGTCACTAAGTGAAATGTCACACGACCGGTCCGCTTAGAACAGCAGATCTGGCAATCCCAGTTGCTGACGCTAAGTGAACCTCATGTGGTCTTTAGGCAAGGATCCACCTGGATCCAAGCCATTCTTGGAAAAAGGTAAGGGACTGCCTCCACTTCAGCTCCCCCCATCCACCTATCTCCCCCACATCTGTGCTCATTTGGCTGCCTGCCTACCCGCTGCCCCCACCACCCAGCCCTGCCCACTGCCACACCACGTGCCACTACTGTACCGGCCAGGCACTTCTTTTGTGCTGGCGCAGCTGGGGCTTCTCTCTTGTGCCCCACCCAGGACCTCTGTTCACATGGCGGCCAGAACCTTTTTTTTTTTTTTTGGTGAAAGAAGGCCTGGCCAGCATGCGAATGAAGGCCCTGGCTACACTGGCGTGAAAGCAGGCAGTGCAAAAGAAGGCCTTGGCTGGTACGTTAATGGTATGTGGTGTGGCAGTAGCAGGCAGGGGCAGCTGGCGGCAGTACATATGTGGGCAGCCAAAAGGAGGTGGCAAATGCGGGTGGGCCTGAGTGGGTCCAAATTTTGTTCATGTGGCCATGGGGGCGGTGCAATGGCTGGAACTTTGAGGACCGGTCGTAAGTCCCTTCATTTAGCACCATTGTAAGTGTAATGCTTTGTAACTTAAGTGAGGACCACCTGCATTATATCTGCCCTGTGTAGACTTTAAAATACAGTACATGCTCTCCCTCTCTGGATCTCTCCATACTAACCCGCGCATAGCTTTGCTTAGCTACTTACTGTCTTGCCCAGGCACTGCTGATGAGAAACTTCTTCTGAACACCACAGATGCACACTAACTTTGCATGTCTTGCATCGTAGGCCTTGCTTGGAGTTTCCTAAAAGTAAAACCAGGACACAAGGGAGCTAGAAGATCTTCTGTCAAGATAATGGATGTGTGTTGGTTGGTATAATATCGAGAGGCGAGGGAAGAGAGGATAAAAGATAGGAAATAGATGTCTGACAGAAAGGAGCAGGCCATATATCCATCTCTATATCCTCTAATGAGGTAGATGAAAATTCACATCCTCCCTAGTCAACATATCTGGAGGGTGGCCCATTACGACCCAATCATCTTCCATTTTTTTTTCCCCATCCCTTTTTCTGGGTTATTTTTCCTCTGCATTCATTGGAAAAAACATTATTTTACTAGTATATTCAATGAGTCCGGAGCAATCGGCAAGCAACAATGCTTTCCAGCAAAGGAAAATCAAACTTCATGGCCTCTAAAGCTTCAACCCACCTCCGATAGCTTCTTGTCAGTCTGCTTGAAAAAAAAAGAAAAAAGAGAAATCAGGCCTGCATGTGTCTCCTTGCTCCTTCACTGGCTGTGCTCCAGCTGTTCTATTCTTTCCCTGCAGCAGATGAAGTACTCAAGCAGATGAAGTACATCAGCAGCCAATGCCATCAACGCATATTTGTCCAAGCATCATCTAGAATCAATGCCTAATCCTTATTAAGTGTACACCTATTTGGGGAAGGGGAGAAGAGTCATCCTGATTTTCCAGTAGCTCAGCCTTTAGAGTTTAAGGTGATCCAGACATGGATTGGAAAAGAATGGCTACTGTTCAGCTCCTGAGCGTGCATGGCAAGGGCTAGCTAATGTTATCAAGACAGTGGAGAAACAAGGCATTCAGCTGCTTACCTACAATAAGCTGATGGCAAATTTCACAAGGGTTGTGTTTCTTGAAGATGTGTTCCTGGAAGCTGTGGGTCTTCATGGGCTTGAGGGTCCCCAAGGACTTGTGGAGGGCTCTGGGGGAGGGTTCTGCTTCGGTGGGAGCTGGGGGTGGAGAAGGGGGTGGCGCGGAATCAGGAGGGCTGAGCAGGACGTCAGAGGGCAGCCTGAACTCACTACTGGAGCGCAGGAAAAAGTTCTCCATGCTCTTGCTGCGCAGGATGGTCTTGAGTGAGAGAGAGCGTTTGAACCGTTGCAGCTAGCAGACAAGGGGAAAGAAAAAGGAAAGACATAACACCAGGCACTGGGGAGGGGGCATATTACATTAGCACCGTGAATTTTGCCCAGTGTCTGCTGGGTGCGGTGAAGTATCCAATGGGTTTTTTTGTTTTTTGTGCTTTCAAGTCAGTGTTGACTCCTGGTGACTGCTGGGACTCATCCCTGCAGTTTTCTTGGCAAGATTTTTGGAAATGGTTTGCCCTTGCCTGCTTCCTAGGGCTGAGAGAAAATGACCGGTCCAAGGTCACCCAGCTGGCTTTGTGCCTAAGGCCAGACTAGAACTCCCGGTCTCCTGGTTTCTAGCCTGGTGCCTTAACCACTACACCAAACTGGCTCTCCTATACTTTATAAACTTCATTTTTGCCTTTCCCTTCAATCATCCCATTTGTGCTGCAGAATTCCAGAAAGGAAGAATAATGAAGGCAGTGCTGTTTGGTGCATGTTGAGGAAATGGTCAAAAGGGGAATTCAACACAATTCTTCTCCCCATTTCTGAGGGAGAGAGAAGCTTCAGTCTCTTTCCATATTTCCCAGAAAAGCCTTAAATAAACTTGAGGAGGACCCATGGGAATCAGGAAAAAGTTTCCTATTTTAAAAAGCAAGCAAAAACTACTTTAATCTGATTTGGAAGGGAGGCTGCATGGGGGGGGGAGGGAGAGAGAGAGAGAGAGAAAAAAAAAGGCAAAGAGATTGCTTAAGGCTGCAGGCCATTTATGTGCTAGAAAAACCATCCTCTCTCTACTGTTTTCCTTCCTGCTGGGGAAAAGAGGCTTGTCAACAGTGGAACAAGATCCTAAAGTAGTTAACATATCGTTAGGAAAACTTTCCACTGACCTGCTGTTGTGAGAATAGGACCGTGAACACACAGAGCAGAGGCCATCACTAACCACACTCAAGGTACATTCTAGGCCTGGAGGAAAAGGTCTGTTCGGTGTAACAGCAACCCACTGGGTAACATCTGGGCCCAGGGGACTGCCACAGATGCTGCAGTCTCTAGCATGTCTGGACACAGGCGAGCTTACGGCTGGCTAGACCTCAGCTCCATTTCACTGCTCTTTTCATTAGGTCTTTCTGGCAAGTGAAAGCTGAATCAATTTGCTGGTGAAGCAGCTATATCTGGACAAAGTATGGCCGATATTGGAGAACGAGGATGTTCCGGGGATAAGTAATTTAGGGTCTCGGTACCTTAGTGTTCTGGAGTTTTAGTAGTTTAGTACTCCAGTATTTTACAGTAACTTCATAATTTAGCCTTTTACTTTTCGGTTCCAATATTTTATACATCCATGCTACTGTAATCTGGCTTGTGTTAATTTTTCTGAGTAATCTGTTTGCTAACATGTTTTCTACTCTCCTTGTGTCATGCTAACTTTGCTATGCAACAAAATTCCAGCCAGCTACTGTATTAAAAGGATTGACATCAGTGGAGCCCATAGCAGGCAATGGGGGTACAGCATAATCTTTCCCAGTGTGGCATCTTCTAGTGGCACTGCATTTCAGCTCCCATAATCTCAGCTCCCATCATCCCCAACTAACATGGCCATGGGAAATTATGGGATCTGTAATTAGGGAAAGGCCATGACTGAAGTTATAGTCTGGGAAAGGAAATGTAGATTTTACCCCAAAGCAATTTTTCAAATGAACAAATGCAAAATCATTTAAACTTCTAAGAATTAGAAATGCTTAAGGATACCATCCAAAACCCAAAATAAATATAGCCAACACCAAACCTTATTGGGACTCAGGGGGTTGCAATAAAATGGAACAAATGAGTGAAGCCAGAGCAAAATGCTAGGAGTAATAACTTTG